CATTGTCTACAGCATTAGCAGACTTCACTCAATCATTGTCTACAGCATTAGCAGACTTCACTCAATCATTGTCTACAGCATTAGCAGACTTCACTCAATCATTGTCTACAGCATTAGCGGACTTCACTCAATCATTGTCTACAGCATTAGCGGACTTCACTCAGTCACTGTCTACAACATTAGCAGACTTCACTCAATCATTGTCTACAGCATTAGCAGACTTCACTCGGTCACTGTCTACAGCATTAGCGGCCTTCACTCGGTCGCTGTCTACAGCATTAGCGGCCTTTACTCAATCATTGTCTACAGCATTAGTAGACTTCACTCGGTCACTGTCTACAGCATTAGCAGACTTCACTCAATCATTGTCTACAACATTAGCAGACTTCATTCAGTCACTGTCTACAGCATTAGCAGACTTCACTCGGTCACTGTCTACAACATTAGCAGACTTCACTCGGTCGCTGTCTACAACATTAGCAGACTTCACTCGGTCGCTGTCTACAACATTAGCAGACTTCACTCGGTCGCTGTCTACAACATTGGCAGACTTCACTCGGTCGCTGTCTACAACATTGGCAGACTTCACTCGGTCGCTGTCTACAACATTGGCAGACTTCACTCGGTCGCTGTCTACAACATTGGCAGACTTCACTCGGTCGCTGTCTACAGCATTGGCAGACTTCACTCTGTCGCTGTCTACAACATTAGCAGACTTCACTCTGTCGCTGTCTACAACATTAGCAGACTTCACTCTGTCACTGTCTACAACATTAGCAGACTTCACTGCAAGGCTGTTTTTCATCTTGCAAATACCAAAGAAGCTTATCCCCCCCTTTTTTTACAAATTTTTTAAATCAAGTAGCAAAGTCAGTTAATAATCTTTTAGAAAAAAAGCAAGCTCTTTTAACATTTTGGACCCACTACTTTTTATTTTTAGTGGGAAAATATTATGGGCTATTTTTTATTTCTCTCTCTCTCTCTCCCTCATTGTTTTTGACAAGTAGACAGAGTTGTATATTTTCTGAAACATTTAAAGAGGTTTTTTTTGGAATGATAGAGAGAGACAAAGAGTTGAACTTGGCACACAAATGTTTGTCCAGTATTTAGGTTAGGTATTAACTAGTTTCAACATTATGCTTGAACAAGAGTAAACATGGTTTCTTCAGTGTTTCATGATGTATTGGCCACAGCTAAAGGCTTGTTGTGATTTTTAGATCTCCACATTTAATCACTTACTGTTATTACTTGTGAATGTAAATGTAAGTAACACACACACACACACATTTTCTTATATACACTTCTCCTTAATCATCTAATAATTGTTTGGTTAAATTTACCATTCACAATGTTATCTAAAATATACTGGCAAATTATTTACTTAGTATTATCAGTTAATAGTTTTCAGGATTTGATAAACCCATACTACTGAATACATTTCTCACTTATTGTATGCCTTTTATTGTGTGTGTGATGTTGAAGTTTTCATTTTTCAGTTCATACCAAACCATATAGAGTTGCCTAAAAACACATGTCATACATGATTGCAGGTGCTTACATAAACATATTTAAAAACAAAGAGTGTGTGATCCTGCTTGCTGCCTTCTGAAATGTCCTAAAAACTTTTAAATTTCCTTTACAGTCACATAAAGCATGACAATCTGCATAATAAAAGAGCTGCAGTAGTGTGTATTAATAATTTCAGCTAGGGAGTGTAACACCAACGGCTCCTGTTTCTGATATTGAAGAATTGAAGGCTGGTTTGTTTTTCACTGCAGAGCTGCTTTCAGCTTCACTGACTTGTTTATTACCATGCTTGAATTCGTTCTACTAAACTACTTACCATCCTTGCTTGTCCACTTCTCAGGTGTTCTCCCGCAGCTCAAACCATCGCACCTTTTGTCTTGCTCATCTCTTCACTGATCAAAAGTTTGATGGAGGGATACTAGGGTTAGCTTACGTTGGGTCTCCGCGACGTAATTCTGTTGGCGGAATTTGTAGTCCAGGTACAGACGTTAAAAGTCATTCTTTGTGTTTCTTGTATATGTAGGATCATAAGTGTAAAGATTTATAGTCCAGGTACAGCCGTTAAAAGTCATTCTTTGTGTAATTCTTGTATATGTAGGATTATAAGTGTAAAGATTAGTAGTCCAGGTGCAGCCATTAAAAGTCATTCTTTGTATTTCTTGAATATGTAGGATCATAAGTGTAAAGATTAGTAGTCCAGGTACAGCCGTTAAAAGTCATTCTTTGTATTTCTTGAATATGTAGGATCATAAGTGTAAAGATTTATAGTCCAGGTACAGCCATTAAAAGTCATTCTTTGTATTTCTTGTATATGTAGTATCATAAGTGTAAAGATTTATAGTCCAGGTACAGCCGTTAAAA